CAAGCTCAAGTCGGACACGCGCTCGGCTGAGGAGGGCAGCAGTTAAACTCCTCTTGCCCCCCTGCCCGGCCCTCGTCCCCCCCCTCCGCTCCTGGCCCCCTCAGAGCCCCCTCCAGCCGTGTATAAGCCATAAGAGTGGCCACAGAGGAGTCGCCGTGCTGGCCCTGGGGAGGGGGTGATGTGGCTGCAGTGACAGACCCTCCCCTCCCTCCCTGGCCACGCTGGCTGGGTGACAGCGGTGCCGGGCACAGCCAGGCCCCCATCCCACCCTGCAGGAAGGTGCTGGGGCTGGGGGGGCTGCAGGGAAGGGCTGGACCCCAACCTGGGTGATGGGACCAATCTGCCCTTCCCCAGCCTGTCTGAGGTGGAGGAACCCCACTGGCCCATTCCTGAACCTGCACTGTCACATCCAGCCCCAAACCTCACTGAGTGACACAAGGAAAGGGTTGGGGGATGTGTGTGGGGGGTGTGAGGGGCTCTGTGTGTGTGTGTGTGTGTCTCATCCCACCCGGGGGTGTTGCTGAGTGGCTGGCAGAGCGTGACAGCCCCTTGTCCCCATCCCTGAGCATTGTGATGTGCCCTGAGGGGCAGGGCAGCTCCCACCCCGAGCACCTGTACATATGTAAATACCTGTACATACAGGGCAGCCGGCCAGGCTGTGTCCTGCACCCGGAAGGGCTATTGGGGCTGTTGGGTTGGCAGGTGCAGCCCCCACGTGCCCTGCACAGGGTGCCCTCCCTGGCTGGCAGCGGCATCACCGGGGCCGGGAGCAGCAGGGAGCAGCCCCCGGCCCATATCCTGTCTTCCCTGCCTTGCTGCCACCAGGGGCTGCCCCACTGCCTCCCACAAGGTGCCAGGGCTTGGGGGGGCAAGGGCTGGGGGCACCAGAGCAGAGGGACCTATCCCCCTTTGCTCTGGCCAGTGGGGACCAGCGTCCCTGTGCAGGGCAGCCCACGGGACCTCCTTGGCGCAAGCAAGACCCTTCCCACCCCACCCCAGAGGACTCCTCCCTCCAGTTCCCCATTAAGCACCAGTTCTGTCCCACCCCAGTTCCCCAGTAAGCACCATTTCTGTGTGGTAAGTGGTGTGTGCATGTCTCGTGCGAGTGCCTGGGAGGTCAGGGTGTGTGGTGGTGGGGTGGCTACCCCAGCTGGCCAGTTTGCCCCGAGTACTGGGGCAGACAGAGGCCTGACGACCCCACAAGTCAATACAGCTCTCTCAGCCCCCTCCCACCCCAAAACAGGGTACCCCAACTGGCCCCCACGCTCCTTTTTCTAGAGGGTTTGCCTGGGACCAAAGGGTTTCGCTTTCCTCTCTCGTTTCTGTTCAATGTTTACACCCTTTTTCTACAGCTGCTCCTGCACAGCCAGGCTGGGGCTCAGCCCTGCACCCCTGGCCCTGTGCCCCCCTCCCCAAACTGTCCTGTTGGCATGTGATTGAACTGACCAATTCTGCTCCTGTAGCACAGTGTCACCGATGCCTGTGTGTCTGTCCCGCCGGCGGCGGCGGCTGCCATGGATGCATGACAGTGAGATGTTTTGCACTATTTTGAATTTTTTGGGCTCTGTAAAAATATTTTATTATAACTGACATTAAAAAGCACACCCTTCACTGTGGCTCCTGTTGAGATGTGGAGAGGGGGCAGGCACCTGGGGGCTTTCCAGACCCTCTCCCAGGAATATCCAACCCCAAGGATTGCCAGCTCTAAGGATCAGTAGCAGCATCCCTGAGACCTCTCAGCTTCCCTGAGGGTCTCTGCAGTGCACCCACCCTTTGCAAAGCCAAGACCATCAGGAAAGGGGTTAAATGGAATCACAGATCATAGAATCCCAAAATATCCTTAACTGGAATGGATCCCCTAGGAGTCCAACCTCTGACCCTGCACAGACACCCCAGCAATCCCACCCTGTCCCTCAGAGCGTTGTCCAAACCCTCCTGGAGCTCTGGCAGCCTTGGGGCTGTGCCCACTGCCCTGGGGAGCCTGGGCAGTGCCCCAGCACCCTGTGGGGGAAGAACCTTTCCCTGAGATCCATCCCAACCCCCTGGCACAGCTCCAGCTGGTTCCCTCTGGTCCCAGAGAGAAGAGCTCCGTGCCTGCCCCTCCAGGGCCTGAAAAGTCGTCCTGGTTTGCTGATTCTGCAGATTCAGGGAACTTGGCTGCAGCAAACGTTTCCAGGTCTGCAGCGTGCAAAGCACATGTGCTAATGCATCACTAGAGTCAGTCAAGCAAGCATTGAACGGGCTGCAGGGGGAGAAGGAAGGGCTTAACTTTGGGTTTGCATCTAAGGAACTCTCACAGAATCCCAGAATGGTTTGGGCTGGAAGGGACCTTAAAGCTCATGTTGTTCCACCCCCTGCCATGGGCAGGGACACCTTCCACTGGCCCAGGTTGCTCCAAGCCCCGTCCAACCTGGCCTTGGACACTTCCAGGGATGGGATATAGGGATCTCAGTCACTCCATGACAATGGATGGTGCAGAAATTCCAGCACCCTCCACAGGCTGTACATTCAGAGAGGAAAGGGCCGTGTTTCAAGGCTGCCCTGTGGCTGTGGGGACCAATTTTGATACCCAGAAGCACAAGGGAGAAGCCAGAGCCATCCTTCTGCCTGCTCACAGCAGAAGTGTCCTTATTGGGTTGAGCTGGGCTGACTCAGAGGATGAAGGCCGGGATCCAGGGCTGAGAGCAGCCCGGTGAGTCTGGCAAGCTGCAGGACAGGCAGTGCCCCAGGGGTACCAAACCCTTTTCTCACCTGCGACAAACACCCTGCAAGGTGCTGCACTGGCCAGGCCACAGGGCCCTGGGGGTCAGGGAGCCCTCTGAGCAGCCTCACCAGGGTGCAGCACCCACACCAGCACCCACACGAGGTGGGGAGCCCACGGCTGGACCCACCACCGGGCACACGCACCCCATGAGATGCCACCGACCCAGGTCCCAGCACACTGGTGACCCAGGGGACACCCAAGCCACAGCACCTACAGCTTCCCAGGGTGCTGAGCCCCCGGACCCGCGGGCAGAGGTGAAGCCCCCCAGCAGCACCTCGGGCAGGACCCCAGGACCCCTCGCCTGCACGTAGGGGTCCCCAACAGCCACAGAGCCCCCCGAGGCCACGGCACAGACCCTCCTCTGCTGCCAACTCCCTCCCTCCCCCACCTGCACCCATCGATCGCCGTTAATTGCCGCTAATTGGAGCGGGGTGTGTTCCGCTCCCCGCCCCTCTCCGCCCCCCGTTCCGCCCCCCAGCCCCTCCCCTGGCAGCTCCTGGGGGTGCTGGGGCTGGTTTATCCCCCCGCTGGGGCACCCCCAGAGCCCCCCGTGCAGGGCACCTCGAGACCCCCCTTTGGAACACGCCAAGAGTGCCCATAAGGGGCACCCCAAGACCCCATGAGGGAAATGCTGAAAAGCTTTATCAGGGACGCACCACCACCACCCAGGACACCCCAAACTCCTCTCCTGTGGAAAAATGTCCTCACTCGGCACCGTTTGCGGCGAATGAATTCAAGCGGGAGGGACCTTAAAGCCCATCCAGTTCCACCCCCTGCCATGGGGAGGGACACCTCCCACTAGCCCAGGTGGCTCCAAGCCCCCTCCAACCTGGCCTTGGACACTCCCAGGGATGGGGCAGCCACAGCTGCTCTGGGAAACCTGTGCCAGGGCCTCCCCACCCTCACAGCCAACAATTCCTATCCCAATATCCCATCTCACCCTGCCCTCTGGCACTGGGAAGCCATTCCCCTTGTCCTGTCCCTCCATCCCTTGTCCCCAGTCCCTCTCCAGCTCTCCTGGAGCCCCTTTAGGCCCTGCAAGGGGCTCTCAGCTCTCCCTGGAGCCTTCTCTCCTCCAGGGGAACCCCCCCAGCTCTCCCAGCCTGGCTCCAGAGCAGAGGGGCTCCAGCCCTTGGAGCATCTCTGGGGCCTCCTCTGGACTTGATCCAGCAGCTCCATGACCTTCTTACACTTGGGCACTTTCCCAATGTGGCCTGGGAGAGATAATGCAGTGGGATGTGCAGCACCCCAGCACAGCCCCCAAACCCAGAGCAGGGGGGCTGTCCCGAGATGCTGAACGGGTGCCAAGAGGCTTCAGAGACAGGGAGACACTGGGGTAGCACAAGAGTTCATATATAGTAAAAAGTCTTTATTAAGAAGGCTTTGAAGTCAAAAAATAAAACTCTTGATACAATTTTCATAACCGTCAAGTCAGCTCAGCAAATATATAATCAGTACTTTAGCCATGTAAGGTTAAAGGTCCGTTATTTTCTTTTTAAAATAAAATATATTTTAGTTTTTAAAATTTATTCAATAAAGTACATATTTTCCTATAAATTCCCTACATATACATAAAGAGGTAAAAAATAAAAAAATAAAACTAAAAAAAAAACAACAAGCTGACAAACAAAAACAAAACAAAACAAAAAAACCAACCCCCAACCAAACCACAAAATTAAATGGAGATAGAAATCTGTCTGGTTTTTGTGACAGGGTGTGTTAACTGTGCCCCCTCCATCCCACGACCTCCCAACCCCTCACATCACACATTTTTGGGCAGTTTTCACATTGGCAACTTACCAGATAGACCTGCATTACAAAAAAAAAATATATAGATTTATATATATAGAACCATTGCGACTCATCCACAAAAATCACTACATACCAACAGAACCACAAAAAAAAAACATATTATAATAATAATAGAATGATATTTAAAAAATAAAAGACAACCCTTGCGTGTCCTAACATAAAAAGTGCAACCGGACCTTTTCTTTCTGGTTATTTCAGTTTGCAAACGGAATACTGGTATATTTGGGAAGGACTGCTGGAGAACAGCCGGGCTCCCTCCCCAGCCCCCCAGCCAGGTGAAGAGTTAAAGCTATTCTGTAAACATCGGAGTTTCCTCCTCGCGGAATTCACGCCACCTCTTCCTCCTCCTCGTCGTCATCTTCGGCCCCTTCGCCTCCACCCTCCCAACCCCTCGGATTTGGCCACCCCCCGCCCCGACGTGCCCTCTCCTTGCCCTCCTCGCCTCTCCAGCTCACAGCAGCCTCTCCCCCCTCACGCCCCGTGCGCCCATCGGATCCGTTATTAAATAAAAAGCTCGCTTTAACCCGTTTACAGTCCTTAAAACGCAGTGTCGGGGTGGAGGGGGGGGGGATGCACGGCCAGCCCCCCGGGCTAGGAGAAGATGTGGATGGATTGTGTGGCGGGCGCGTGGCACGCGGGGCACTGCGGCTGTGCACGGCCGCAGATGAGCAGGGCACACTCCATACAGAAGAGGTTGTGGCCGCAGGGCACCCGGGCGGCCATCACCTCGCTCTCCAGGCCCACCATGCACTCCCGTGAGCTCTTGCGGTGCCCGTCGGAGCTGCTGGAGGCGGTTGGCGAGCCCGAGGCGGCCGAGATGCTGCCGGGCAGCGAGGACGAGGGGGAGTAGCCGTGGCTGTTGGAGAAGGAGGAGAGCGAGCCCTGGGCGGGCAGCCAGGCCCGGGCGCCGGCGGGGTCGCGGGGGATGCGGCGGGCACAGGGGTGCTCCAGCCCCGCGCCGCCCTCGGGCAGGGTGGGCGAGTGGCGCGGCGTGGCCGGGCCGCTGTTGCGTCTCTGCGAGCTGTTGATGGAGGAGCAGCTGCTGAAGGCCTGCAGGGGGTTGCCCGAGCGCTCGAAGGGCGACCAGATGGTGGTGGTGGGCGTGGTGAGGTCGAGGGCCAAGAAGTCAAAGCCGAAGTCGCACTCCTCGGAGCCCAGCGGGGCCGGGGGCTCGCTGAAGGTGCTGTAGGGGCTGGTGGGGCTGGCGGCCGCCACCCGCCCGCTGTAGTAGGACTCGGTGGAGGCGCTGCCCAGGGAGCTGAGGCTGTCGTTGCGCAGGGCGGCCGAGGAGCGGTGGGCGGGGTGGGGGGCCTTGGCCCACGGGCTGCCCGCGCTGCCCTGCAGGTCGAGGCAGACGTCGGTGCCGTTGGAGTGGAAGTCGTTGTCGGCGTTGACGTCGATGAAGGAGCCTGTCCTCATGGTGATGTGCGCCTCGATCTCCTCCCGCGCGCGGTCCACGTTCTCGGGCATGCCCGTCACCTCGAACACGGGCTCCTTGTCCCGGCTGGGCGTCACGATGTAGGTGTGCGTCTGCTGCTGGATCCGCTTGATGGTGGCCCCCTTGGGCCCCACCACCAGCCCCACCACGCGGTACGGGACCCTCACCTGGATGGTGGTCTGGCCCGGCAGGTTGGGGGGTCCCTGCATGGCCCCCGTCAGCCCGTTCACTTTGTTGCGCGTGGCCCGGATCATGGAGAAGTGCTCGGCGGCCGAGAGGATCTCCCGCTTCGCCATCTCCACGTCCTCCTTCCTCCCGGTGACGATGAACACGGGCTCCTCGCCCCTCACCGGCGTCTTGATGTACGTGTTGGTCTTGGCACGCAGGGCTTTGATTTTGCAGCCTGCAGGGCAAGGAGGAGGGGGAGAGATGACACATCAGCACTGGTTCCACAGGGAACCTCTGCTCACCCGGGGTGGGGACATGCAGGACCGCCAGGAACCAGCAGGTCCCTTTGGTTCTGCGCCTGCAGCACAGACACCCTTGGGCAGAGGGGTCTCTCCTGCCTCCGAGGCAGATGAGGGCTCACAGTTCAGTGCTGGGGGGCTGCACTGCTCTCTCCAGGACATGCCAGACTCCTGGCACCGGCCTGACCCTCTGGGATTGAGGAGCAGCAGGACGCAGCCAGCAGCCCCGCTCCCAAGGGCTGGAACACGTGGGCTGAGGGGGGCCAGGGCAGGCAGCCATGGGGGCAGGGTCGGGGTCGCTGAAAGGGGGGGACGCTGGATTCACTCAGAGGGTGTTTAAGGAGGTACAAGGCAAAACAAGACACCAGGGTGGAAGGGAAAAAAACCGCTTGTCTGGATCCTGCAGGTCCTTTGACACCTCCCAGCCAGCAGCTGAACCTGAGGAACAGCCCTGGCTGCACTCCAGAGACAGCCCCAGAGGGCCGGGGGAGCTGGGGCTCCCCATGGTGGGGGGCACAGGCACCCCTTCCCCTCCCTGCCCCCAGGGAGGCATCCCCAGCACCGAGGCCGAGGTGCTCCCAGGGCACCCGCTCTCCCTGTTCTGGAAGGACCTGCTTCCTCCCCACGGGACGTGATTCAGCAGAGCCCGGCTGGGACGTGGAGCCCGGGACTGTGCTGCCAACTCTGCCAACTCTGCCTCGCACAGCCCCGGGCACGGCCCTGCCCCTTCCCCCCGCGGGCAAGCTGGGCTCTGGCTGCAGGTCCTGGCTGAATCCATCCAGCCAAAGGCTCCTGGGACCGGGACTACAAAAGGCTCCAACTCTCCTCTAGGACCACTTTTCACTGCCCCACTGAGGAGCCACCTGCAGCCGCCAGCACAGCCCCGCTCCCTGCACCCCCTGCCCTGATTGCATCCACTCTTAATTAAATGCCCCTGAGCCTGGCACAGCACACCCAGAGCTCAGCTCAGCCTGCCACTGGCACACAGGGGTGAGTGACCCCCTGCCTCCCACCTCCCTGAGCTCCGTGGGGCACCCAATGCAAAGCTGGAAGCCCACAGGGGTGGCAGGTGCCCGAGCAGAGCCCTGACATTGTCCCTGTGCATCACAAACGCTGCTGCAGGATCCACAGGGATAAACAGCTCGGCTCCTCCAGGCACAGCCGAGTGCCCAACTGGCTCCTCTGCTCCTCTGCAAACAGCTCGCTCGGGGCTCCCCTCCTCCTCCTCCTCCTCCTCCTCCTCCTCCTCCTCTTCCTAGATGCTCCCCGAGGAAGGGCAGGGCTGCTCTTCCAGCTGCAAGGCTGGAGAAGGGAGAGCCCTGGGAGGCTGAAGGGTCTCAGCACAAGAAGAATGCTGACCTGTTGGAGAGAGTCCAGAGGAGGCCACAGGGATGCTCCAAGGGCTGGAGCCCCTCTGCTCTGGAGCCAGGCTGGGAGAGCTGGGGGGGTTCACCTGGAGGAGAGAAGGCTCCAGGGAGAGCTGAGAGCCCCTTGCAGGGCCTAAAGGGGCTCCAGGAGAGCTGGAGAGGGACTGGGGACAAGGGATGGAGGGACAGAACAAGGGGAATGGCTTCCCAGTGCCAGAGGGCAGGGTGAGATGGGAGACTGGGAAGGAATTCTTCACTCTGTGGAAGTGGTGAGTGTATTGGGTTTGCATGGCCAGCTTCTGTCAGCAGCTGCCAGAAGCTTCTCCCCTGCCTGGCAGAGCCAATTCCAGCTGCTCCAGGATGGACCTGCTGCTGGCCAAGGCCCAGCCCAGCAGAGATGGTGGGAACACCCCTGGGATAATGTATTTAAGATGGGAAAAATGTTATTGAGCAGATGGAATTGGGTGCAGAGAGCAGAGTGAGAACATGGGAGAGGAACAGCCCTGCAGGGCCCCAGGGCAGGGCAGGAGGAGGGGCAGGAGGGGCTCCAGGCACTGGAGCTGAGGTTCCCCTGGGGCAGCCCATGGGGAGGGAGTTGTGCCCCTGCAGCACGTGGGGGGCCATGGGGTGCAGAGACCCCCCTGCAGCACGTGGAGGAGCCCATTCCAGAGCAGGGGATGCCCAAAGGAGGAGGTGACCCCCTGGGAAGCCCCTGCTGGAGCAGAGTCCTGGCACGGAGCTGCAGCCCCACGGAGAGAGGAGCCCAGGCTGGAGCAGCCTGTTCCTGAAGGACTGAGCCCATGGAAAGGGCCCCATGTTGAAGTTCATGGGGAACTGTCTCCCGTGGGAGGAATCCCAGGCTGGAGCAGGGGAAGGACTCCAACTCCTCTCCCTGAGCAGCAGCAGAAACAATCTGTGATAAACTGACCAGGACCCCCATTCCCATCTCTCTGCACCACTGGGAGGAGGAGGGAGAGTCCAGGAGAGGGAGGAGTGGGAAAAGGTGTATTTAAGATTTATTTGCCTTTTCACTGTCCTGCTCTGATTTTGTTAGTAATATATTCAATTAATATCCCCAGGTTGAGTCTGTTTTGCCCATGTTGGTGATCAGTGAGGGTTCTCTCCTTGTCCCTGTCTCAAGTCAGGAACCTTTGTTAGATTTTCTCTCCCCTGTCCACTTGTGGAGGGCAGTGATGGAGTGGCTTTGGTGGGCACCTGGAATCCAGGCAGGGTCAACCCACCACAGTGAGGCCCTGGCACAGGTTGCCCAGGGAAGCTGTGGCTGCCCCATCCCTGGGAGTGTCCAAGGCCAGGTTGGACGGGGCTTGGAGCACCCTGGGCTGGTGGGAGGTGTCCCTGCCCATGGCAGGGGGTGGGACTGGGTGGGCTTTAATGTCCCCTCAACCCAAACCATTCTGGGATTCTGTGACTCAGCCATGGCTGAGATGGCACAAGACCTTCAGTCAGGCCTGTCCCAGCCAGGTAAAGGTAAATCAATCCAGGCTCCCCAGCAGCCAGAGGGCAAACAGGAGCTGTGCTATTCCTGCTGCATTTCCCAGGGTATTAAACATCACGGATGACAAGAAGTAAAAAACTGTCACAGTAAGTGAGCAGCAGCAGCTGCCCTGGGTGTCCCAGCCCAGTTCTTTGGCAGCACTAACCCCTGGTGGGTTTATGGCTGGGGCACATGGCAGGGAAAGCAACAGCCCAGGGACTGGGGCAGGGCAGAACCATCAGAAGTGACATTTTTGGAAGCATGTGCCAGCCCCCATCAGGCTGCCCAGGGAGAGGTGCCTGCAACTCCCACGTTCCTCTCCCAGATTTACCCTGGTACCTGCTATAAGCTCTTCCCCTGCTCCAGTGCTTGGCAAACCAGGACAAGCCCAGGGCAGTGGGAAGGGGCCCTGCTGGTGCCTCCCAAGGTCCCAAATTCGCCCTTTGCAGCATCACAGAAACTTTCAATGTCCTGAGTTGAAAGAGACCCACAAGGATCATCAAGTCCAACCCCTGGCCCTGCACAGACACCCCAGCAATCCCACCCTGTCCCTCAGAGCGTTGTCCAAACCCTCCTGGAGCTCTGGCAGCCTTGGGGCCGTGCCCACTGCCCTGGGGAGCCTGGGCAGTGCCCCAGCACCCTGTGGGGGAAGAACCTTTCCCTGAGATCCAACCTAAATCTTCCCCTCTCTCTCCTGAAATGGCAATTTCATGATCCAAAGGCATCAGCAGCTCCAGGAGCTGCACAGGAGCCACGTCCCACAGGGGACACAGCACAGGGAGGTTCTTCCTCACTCCACTCCCTTGTGCCGGTGGCACCAGCGGGACCCAACTGATGCCATGGCAGCACAAGAGAGAGGAAGAGTTTATCCAGCTGCTCCTGTGAGCCCTTCCCAGGGACAAAGCCTGGGACAAAAATGAAAGGGGTGCCTGGTTTGACCCTCCTCAAACAAGTAGGGCAGGAAAAATGCTCCCAGCCTGCAGCTGCTGGACACTGCCAGGGCACCAATGGCACCAAATGCAGCCAGGGGGTGGGAGCTGATTCTCCCAGTTGACTGTAAATGGGGATGGCAACAGGAAACACTGTGGGAAAGGAGGCATTAGGCAGGGAAGGCACTGCCTGAGGCTGTGGGCTGGCACCAGCACCAGGAACTTGTGCCCGAGAGGAGCCTGGACGCACCAGGGAGCGCTGCTGGAAACTGGGAGGGAGCAGGGCCAGGACAGCACCACGGCCACACCCAGGGACCAACCTGTCCTGCCCTGTCCCCAGTCCCAAACTCTACCTGGGACACCCCTTGGCCACAGGGACTCCCCATGGTTGAGCCCCCCAGAGCCCCCTGAGAGCCAGAGGGACTCAAAGCACAAACTGGTGGTTTGACCTGCAACTGCAACTGGGGGAATCATGGAATGGTTTGGGTTGGAAGGACCTTAAAGTTCATCTTGTCCCTGCCATGGGCAATCTCCACTAGCCCAGGTTGCTCCAAGCCCCGTCCAACCTGGCCTTAGACACTTCCAGGGATGGGGCAGCCACAGCTGCTCTGGGAAACCTGGGACAGCCCCTCCCCACCCTCACAGCCAACAATTCCTTCCCAATATCCCATATCACCCTGCCCTCTGGCACTGGGAAGCCATTCCCCTTGTCCTGTCCCTCCATCCCTTGTCCCCAGTCCCTCTCCAGCTCTCCTGGAGCCCCTTTAGGCCCTGCAAGGGGCTCTCAGGTCTCCCTGGATCCTTCTCTCCTCCAGGTGAACCCCCCCAGCTCTCCCAGCCTGGCTCCAGAGCAGAGGGGCTCCAGCCCTTGGAGCATCTCTGCGGCCTCCTCTGGACTTGTTCCTGCAGTTCCACGTCTTTCTTGTGCTTAGAATGATCCAGACCAGTATGAGATGTCTCAGATGAGCCCCTGCAAGTCCCACCCCAGCCCACTGTGATACCATCCTGGATGGCTGCATCCTCTGGAGCTGCTGCAGGAACAGGGCCATGGTGAAGGGGGCCATGGAAAGACCTGGGGCTGCCCAGCAGTGCCAGTGACCCCCTCACAGGCAGTGCCAGACCTCAGCCCAGCAGCAGCAGCAGCAGCTGGCATCCCCACATTCCCCTTGCCAAGGGCCAGAGCTGCATCAGTGGCGACAGGGCAGGAGAACAAGGTGCCAGACTCTGCTACAAGTCTCCAGCCAAAGTGGCTTTAAAGGCACTTTTCAGATCCAAATGAAAACACCTCAAAACCAGGGGTGGGATGAGAGGACAGACCCAGGGATGCCTTAGCTCCAACAGCTCCTTCTCAACACCAGAGCCTGGGTCTCACCAGAGCCCGAGGGTGACTCAGTTGTAGAGTCCCTGTGGGCACAAACTCATCTTGACATCCCGTGGCCATTCTCAGCTGCCAGCAAACACCCACATTCCAGAGATGTCCAGCCCAAGGAGTCACAGCCCCCTGTGCCACCACACCCAGCTCTGCCACATGGAGGGTACCTATGGAAGGAGGGAGTTGGACTCTCCTCCCAACCCTCCCCCCCAGCCCTCTCCCTCCCCCTCAGGCTCCAGACTCCATATCCTTCTCTTCCACCCTCTACTCATCCTATATAGCTCCTGCCACACTCCACTCCACACAAGTGCCCTGGCTGGGCCTGTCCCACCTGCCCTCAGGCTGGGAAATCACTACTTTCTGGCAAGAAACAGAATCCCAAGGGATTCTCCCCAGCACGATGCACCCCAGGAACAGCAGCTGCTCTCCCTGAACGTCCTTTCTGAGCATCACCAAAGAGAACTTGGCCCCCTGCAAGGAGCCCCAGTCTGATCAGGGCTGCAAGAGCCCAGGAGAACCAGCACAACACTGGGGCAGTGGGTGGGAAGGGCCTCTCCATCCTCACACCCACGCCGGAGATGAGGGAGCCCACAGCTCATCCACGTGCTGACCCCCAGCACGGCCCAGGCAGCACCTGCACCAACATCAGGTGCCTCCTGCACACCAGGAGGGCAGAGCCAGCCCACTGCCCTGCCCAGACCACGGCTCCACTTGCCCAAGGAGGTCTGTGCTGGCCATGCCCAGCTCTGAGGTGGGAAAACCCAAGAAAGGTGTGACAGAGCTTTTCTGGAAGAGCCTCTGATGGCATCACCCTGGAGGATGGGGTCTGTCACAGCCTCTGGAGCCCTCTCACACCTTGTGCCTGGCCCTCTGGAGTGTGTCACCCGCTCTCTTCCTCTTCCCCAGCTCTGCAGCATCTCTTGGCCTCTGATCCAGAGTTCCAGAGCTCCCAGTTCCCTTTGTAACTGGTGAATGGCACAGGATGGGCCAGGAGTGGGGCCAGGCATGGAGGAGAACAGGCTGCACCTCCATTGCAGCTCATCCCCTTCTTCCCAAGCACTTCTTCCCACCTCTGCACACAGTAATGAATTCATCCTGCAGCCCTGCTGCGGGAGGCAAGCACATCACACCTTGGCTTCTTCTCCAGGCACCTGGGAGAGCGAGGCAGGCAGGCTGGGCTCCTCCCCTGGGGACACAGGGTGCAGCCAGAGCCAGAGCAGAGCACAGGCAGATCCTTCAGCGACCAGATCCATACGTGTGACCACCCTCAGGAGTTCCCAGCTCTGCTATGACCAAAGGAGGTGGGAGGAGGCAGCCAGGAGGACGTGCCAGGTGCCTCAAGGGATGTGACACCACAGGCAGGAGACAGCAGAGAGCCCAGGGCTCCAAAAGGGAGGATTCATCCCACCCCTGTGATCCACTGCAAGGTTACAGGTGCTTGGGCTGGCCCAGGGGGGGCCCGTGGTCTCCCTGTGCATCCTCCAAGCACCAGAACGCTGCCTGCACTGTTCCATCCTTCCCTGGATCTCCCCTTTGAGCAACCCAGCGTCTTCTATAAATGGCAACTTTCCTTTTGCAGAGCTGTGACAGCCCCTGCGTGTCACAGATGGGGAGAGGAGCCGTGGCTCCATCCCACGGGAGGCACATGGCACGGGAGGGGCGAGCAGAGCCCGGGGCCCTCGGCTGCACCCCCTCGGCCTCGCTGGGGCAGGAGCTGCTGACAATGCCCCTCGAAAGCCAGGGCAGCAGGAAACCACCCCAGCACAGTCCTGGCAGCTCCAACACCTGCCCCACGCTCCCCAGTGGTCCCCACCATAATCGATCACAGCTCTCTGCTGGGTGGCCAGAGGAGCCCACGCCGCTGCCTTCAGTGCCCACAGCACTTTTTGGAGATGGTCCCTCCCACGGCAGGAGTCATGAACGGGCTTGCACGGCCAGGGAATCCCGCCTGGCCACGCTGCCTGTGGGCAGCTGTGTGGGCAGGGGGAGGCTGCAGATCCCAGCTGGCAGACTGTGCCATCGCCGATGCCAATCTGGACACGGGGCCATGGCAATTGCTCCTCCAGCTCAGGCAAGGAAACACTGATTTGCTTTAGAGAACAAAGGTTTACCTGCTGGGCCGCTGCTGCTCCTTGGGGAAAGGTTTAAATTAGGGGATCTGGAGAAGAGAAATTGAAGAAAAAGGAGAAGTAGGAGAAATCGTGTCCCATTGGCTCTGTCCCAGCTCAGACTGCACAGACACCCACGTGCTGGTCCCGGCTGCCAGGGCCTCCCTGGTCCCCACTCACCAGGGCAGCGAGGGGCTGCTGGGTCTGGGGACAGCAGGACAGGTCTCAAAGTTCCCCAAGAGCTGCTCCTCAGCACAGGGTGTGCGGGGAGAGAACCTGAGCTCTGCCCCAACTCCAGTCCCTTCCAGGGCACCAATATCCACATCTTCATCCCCTCCTGTGTTCTGAGCACGGTGGCACCACAAGTGTCTGTCCCTGTGTCATGGCCAGGCTGGGCAGTGCAGGGAAGACAAGAGTGACAGGGACACAGTCTGGGTGACCTGATCCTGCCTTGCAGTGTCACTACAGCAATGCCAGGCCCAGCCAAGCACCACAAGGCTCGGCCCTGCAGTCAGACCCTGCTGCCACGGGGCTGCCAAAACTGAGGGAGACCCACCCAAGGACCAGAAGGACCCGGGAGACAGCACAGGGAGGATGAGTAGGGCTCTGCTTGATGTGAGCCCCAGGAAACGACCTCGGTATTGCCTCTGCTCAGGCTAAACCAGCCTCACACAGCCTTGGTTTAATCCAGCTGCTGGCGGCACCGGAGAGCAGCCGGAGCACAAAGACACTGTGCTGCCAGCCCTGTCCCCTCACTGCTGCCCACCAGTGTGACCAGGGCAGCTGAGTCCCTCTCCACATCAAAAACCCAGCGTGAGGCCCCTGCACGGCATCCCAACAGGCTGAGCCCAGGAAAGGGGCAGGAAACACGTGGGGGAACCCCTGGGGAGAGCTGTTCCTGCCCGTGGGCCGGGGCAGCAGCAGGTACCTCCAGCCCATGGCTGGGTTCAGGTCCCCTCCAAGCCCACCAGCGGGACACAGCCAGCACCCCACATCAAGCTGGTGTAATAATTCCTTTGGCAACACTTTTTCCGCAAGCCCTCGGAGCTTAGTGAGCCCCCAAACTCCGCCCAAGGCAGTCGAGGCAGGTACCTGGCTGCCCACTGAACTCCTTGGTGGTGCTGGAGGTGCAGCACCGAGGTCTCACCACACCGAAACACCCAGGGGAAGGTGCCAACCGGCAGCTCCCGGCCCCAAACGCGGCCGCTCCTCCGCCCTCCTCCAGCCGGCAGGACCGGCGGGTTCCCCGGCACAGGTTTGCTTTCAAGTTGTTGGACCCCAGGGCTCTGCGGAGCCCGTCGGTGAAGCCACCAAACCCAGGTCTCCGTGCAGCCGCGGGAGGAGGAGGATCCTCCGAGCAGGGCGCGGTGCCACACTCCTCTCCCTCTCCTCTCCTCTGGCTCTGCCCCGGCCGGGTCCGGCAGCTCGGGGGGACCCCGCGGCCGGGCCGGTGGGACCGGAGAGGGGGTGCCTGGAAAGTTGGGAGGCCGGGAAGCGGGGCCGGCTGGGAGGCAGCGCAGGCCAATGGGAAGCGCAGAGCATGATGTCACCGCGCTCATCACAGCATGGCTCTGGCTAACAAAGAGAACAATGAGCCTGCCCAGCTCCCCGCTTCCCTCCGCGAAAAAAAAGCCCCCCGACCCCCGGCCCGCAGCCCCCCGGCCGGGGAGGGGTGGGAGCCGCGGGGGAGGGCAGGGCCGGGGTGCCAGACCCCACCCGGCCAAAACGCTCCAGAGGTCACGCTCCCCGCGAGGGGATTCCTGCCGGGATCCCTGCAGGCAGCGGCTCCCTTCCTTCTCCTTTCTTTTCCTTAAATCCTCCGCCTCGGGGTCTTTTCTTTTTGATTTTCCAAGGTGTAACTTCGGTTTATTTGGGATTTCCCGGAGACAAAAGCCCACTCCAGGCACACCCACCCGGACGAGGGCTGGGGCGGCCTTTTGTGACAGCTGGGTGCGAGGGGCTCCGCGCCCCCGGAGCTCCGGCCGCCCACGGACGAGCGGGTTAACGACCGTTTACACCGGATTTATCGTCGGGATTTACAAACTGAAGTCCGAGATAAGCGGCACTGTTCACACACCGGGGCTGAGATACGGAGCCTGGAGGGGAGGGGGCAGAAGCACAACTACAATGAAAGCAAAGAAAGCTCCGTGTCCTGGCAGCTCCAGCGGACGCGCGTGGCTCCCGGGAACTTTCCGGTGATCCCACCCCGGCCGTTCTCCCGCACCGCGGAGTTCTATCGCTATTTACCGGCGGCTCGGCGGCGCCGCGGCTCCCGGGACCCGCGGCCGAGTTTCGGGGCCGCCGCCGCGAAGTTTCCGCCTCCGCACGGAGACAAAGCCCCGGAGCCGCCCCGGCCCGAGGGGGGGTCCCCGCGCCCCCCGGTGCCCCCCGCGCCGCGTTACCTTGCCGGCCCACGATCTCGGCGACGTGCTCGGAGCTGGGCACGGGCACGCACTCGGTCATGTTCACGCTCTTCTTCCTGCTGGCCGGCGGCTCCCCGAGCAGCGCGGGCGGCCCCAGCGGCGGGGCCAGGCTGCCGAAGGCGCCCGGGGCGGGGGCCGGGGCCGGCCCCGGGGATGATCCGCCGCGCTCCCGCTCCCTTAGGCCGCCCGGCCCCGCGGCCCCCGCCGGCTCCTCCGCGCCCTCCAGCCCCAGCAGCGACAGCTGGTCCAGCGCGAACCTCAGCGCGGCGGCTTCGCCCTGCGCCGCCGGCCCCGGCGGCCCCTCCCGCTCCCGGCCGGGCTCGGGCTCCGGCGGCGGGTCCTGCCCGGCGGAGGGCGGCGGCGGCGGGCTGAGCAGGGTGAGGCAGCGCGGCGGGCCGCGGGCCGGCTGCCCGGGCTCGGGCTGGTACAGGGAGCCGGGCATGGCGCGGAGCGAGCGGGCCGGGGCCGGGGCGGTGCCGCTGCCCGGGGCCGCCGCCGCCGCCTCCTGCGCCCCCCGCCCCGCCCGCCGATGGGCCGCGCCGCGCCCGCCGCGCGCATGCGCCGCGGAGCCCCGCCCACCGAAAGGGGGCGCGCCCCCGTCGCCCGGAGCTCCGCCCACCCCGGCCACACCCATAAGGCCACGCCCACCCCGGAGGGAGCCGCGACCCCCACCCGGCACAGCCCGAAAATCCGAGGGGGGGGTGTCGGACATCCCGGGGGATCCGAGGGTGCCCCCGGGGCTCTGAGCATCCCCAGGGCAGCGCCGAGCAGCGCGGGGAGGGAAGCGGGGGTCGAGCATCCCGGCGGCTCCGAGTATCGCGGCGGGAGGAGGGGGAGAGACCATTCTGGGGGGTGCTCTGAGCATCCCGAGGGGGGCTTCGAGCATCGCGGGGGGGGGAGTCGAGCATCCCGGAGGGTCCGAGCATCTGGGGGCTACCTCCGAGTATCGCGGGGGAGAGAGAGGGGAGGTCGACCATTCCGGGGGGTGGGGCTCTGGATATCTCGGATATCTCGGGGTATCCGAGCAGCCCCCGCGGGCTCTGAGCATCCCCGGCGGGGACTCCGAGCACTGCGGGGAGGAAAGGGGAGGTCGAGCAGCCCGGGGGCTCCGAGTAGGGCGAGGGTCGAACGTCCCGGGGAAGCCCCCCCGAGCATCTCGGGGTGCTCCGAGCAGCGCGGGATGGGTCAGAGCATCCCGGGGAAGCGGGAGGGCAGTTCCGAGCAGCACGGAGGGTCTGAGCATCCCCGGGCGGCTCCGAGCATGGCTGGAAGGTTCTGAGCATCGCGGGGGTTCGAGCGACCCGGGAGAGCTCCGACCATCCCGGGAAGTTCTGAGCATACCCGGGAGGGCTCCAAGCACTGTGTGTGTGTGTGTGTGGGGGGGGGTGTTGGGAGCATCCCGGGGACTCCGAACGCCCCGGGGGGCTCCCCGAGCATCCCGGGGGTACTCCGGCATCCCAGGAGGTTCCGGGCATCCGAGGGGGGCCCCGAACATCCCCGGGCAGCTCCGACCATCGCGGAGGGGCATCTCGAGCATCGCGGAGGTTCGAGCAGCCCTAGGGGGGTTCTGGCATCCCCGGGGGGGCTCCGAGCATTCCCGGCGCACGGCCCCGCCGCCCTCCTCTCCCCGCAGCTCAAACACCGGTGGTTCCCACCGCGGGGCCGGGGAGGAGCTGCCGGAAAAACGCCGCCGAAACCGAGGGAGGCGACAGGGGACCGGGACAGAGCAGGTCAGTCGGTACCGCCCGGCACAGCACGGACCGGGACCGCGAAGCGCTGGAGCAGCCGCAGCTCCCCCGGTGCCGGGCAGCCCCCTCCCAGGCACTCGAGCCCCAGCACAGCCCCCCTCCTTCTCCCCGAGTTACTGAAGTTAAGAAAATATAAAATCATTGTCCTTTCTCCTGCCGTTTTCCCTTGGATCTTCAGTTTCTATTTCACAGGGTCATTCCACAGAATCCCCGAGCGGTTTGGGTTGGAAGGGACCTTTAGAGCCCACCCCGTCCCACCGCCCCAGTTTTGCTGTTCATGCTCAGCAGCGTCACCTGGTTCCGCCTGACAGAGGCACAGCCACCTCGGCAGCCTGGAGACCCTGAGAGCACAGGGATCTCGATCACCTCCTAGAGCCTCCCTCCCCAGAACGTCACCACAGCAGGTCCCTGCTGCCATGGACTGTCCCCCCACCCCAGATTACCTGCCTCCCAACCCTTTGTCCCAGCTGGGCCGTGGATTTACAGGGCCCTTCCACAGCCAGAGCTTTAGGAACCCTCCTGGAAGTGCTGGCACAGCACACATTTACTAGAACAACATCAAGACCCACTCCCAGCCCATCCACGACCCCAAATGCCCAGATGCTCCCATTCCACAGCTCCTATGCTCCGTTTTCACATAACTGTCTTTCCCAATCACTGCCTTTGGGATTAATTCAACCATTTGGGTTGGGATTGTTTTTAATTGCAAGAACCATCAGTGTCTGGCCTAGAAACCCCCCCTTCAATCCACCCACTCTGTTTTCATTTCCCAGATCCCGGGAAACATTAACTCCTGCTGCTCCATGGGCCAAACACGAGCCACATGGGCTGGTCTTATGCTTCCAGGCTTTCCCCTTCAGCTGGTGACTCCTCTATGGAAAGAGACTTTCAACTTTTGATACTTTGAAAGGGGCACCTGAAACTTCTGGGAGATCTTTCCAGCAAGGTGACAGCCACCAGGAGCTGTTTCCTTACTTCTTTCCACTCCTCTCACCTGCCAACTAAACCCAACATCTTCCAGCTGCTGAAAAGTTTAATGAAAACAGGTAACGAGCTTCCTCCCCTCCTGTTTTACCTTCTCTCCTTCTGCTTTACCTCCAGAGCCCTCAGCTATGAGCTGCCACCAGCCCTTCCCTTCTGTCTGGATGCTGCAGACTGTGGCAACTTCTGGTTTCCCATCCAAACAGCTCAATTCCATGGAGATGTGTCTGCATCCATCCCGATTCCTTAGTACTTACACAGATCCAGCAGCACCAGCACAGCCCTCGGAATCCTCCCTCTCCAGACCGGCCTCCCCCATGCCAGGAGCTGCTCAGAGAGCTGGTAACTCCAGGATTATTACAGAGAGCCATAGGATCCTAGAAAAACCCGAGTTGGAAGGGACCCACAAGGACCATCAAAGTCCAATTCCTGCCCAGGACACCCCAACAATCCCCCCCTGTCCCTCAGAGCGTTGTCCAAACACTCCTGGAGCTCTGGCAGCCTTGGGGCCGTGCCCACTGCCCTGGGGAGCCTGGGCAGTGCCCCAGCACCCTCTGGGGGAAGAACCTTTCCCTGAGATCCATCCCAACCCCCCTGGCACAGCTCCATGCCATTTCTGGCACCAAGATTTGCACCTCCTGAGGAACAGCAGCTTCTCCTCCAGGGACAGACACAGCCAATCCAGGTCTGAGCCTCACAAACTGGCTGTGAGACATTTCCCCTCTCACCCTCAAAATATTAAATGCTGTAAATTGTAACACCCCACTAAACTACTAAAAACAGTGGGGTTTCCACAACTTGAGAGTGAAGGGTACAACCCTTCCTGTCTGAGCTTCTTCTGTTTCCACAAGATGGAGAAAACTCATGAATGACCAACACCATGTCTCTGGTGACTTCTCTGGGCAACCTTCACCAACACAGAGGAGTCCACCTGTACCTGAACCTGCCCAAGTGGCTCCTTAGGTATGTCCTTGCTCCAATTCCAACACTAACACACTCCTGGCCACCATTTCTCCACCTCTGAAGCCCCCAAGAAGTCCTGTACATGGGCTTTCAAAACCCCCCCAGGAACTGCACTCCCAACACTGCCCTTTTTGCCTCTCTGTGCTCTCTCAGTCCTTTTGGGAAATTTCTACGTCAAGTCCAACAACGCCCAGGGAAACTGCCAGTTGTTATTTTAAGTGCTTTGGCAAACCTGGTTTTTAGCTGTTGTGTCTCTGATCTGTTCCATTTTCAGCAGAACTAGCTCAGGCTTTCTTCTGAGAGCCTGAATTCCACTCATGACACCAAGTGGCCCTGGGGTTTTTTTTTAACCTGAGCAATTAGCAGCTCTTAAAGAGACCTGTGTCTCCCATTAACAGAGAAAATGATTCTACAAACTAGAGAAGTTGTTCAGCACAATTCCATTCCTTTAACAAACATGACCATGCAGAAGAACCAATTTTCCTAAACACAAGAGAAAAGAGAAGGCTCTTACTTGCTGCTTCCAAGCCCATCCCTCCAGGTGCTTTCCCCATTTCCCAGCAGGACTCATTCCCAAGTTTGTGCTGCCTCTAATAATCTGGTCTCTGACCACTGAAGCTGTGGCTGCCCCATCCCTGGAAGTGTCCAAGGCCAGGTTGGACGGGGCTTGGAGCAACCTGGGCTGGTGGAAGGTGTCCCTGCCCATGGCAGGGGGTGGCACTGGATGGGCTTTAAGGTCCCTTCCAGCCCAAACCAGTCTGGGATTCTGTGTTCTACAGAATAAACATATCCTCCAAAATGACCAATCCAATCCCTTGGCTGTGCAGAGGGAATCATGGAACACTGGATTAAAGCACAGTAGAGGTCTAACAGCCCATTAAGGTGTTTTCTATAGGGAGAAACAGAAGTACAGCAGAGCATTAGTGCAACCACAGCTCCATAAACCCAAATCCCCTGGGAACAACTCTGCAACAGCAGCTTATTCCAGGTCAAGTGTGCAATGGCAGAAGGGGCAATATCCAAGCTAGAATATTTGTTCTGCTCTAGAGAACATTCTCTGTAGATCAACCCCTAAAGATGGGAATTACTGCACACAGAGAAAGGAACTCCCTGCCCCCAACCAAAAACCCTGCAGTTGTCACAAAATCGTCTCGGAATGGTTTGGGTTGGGAGGGACCTTAAAGATCATCTTGTTTCCCTCCTTGCCATGGGCAGGGACACCTTCCACTAGCCCAGGTGGCTCCAAGCCCCCTCCAACCTGGCCCTGGACACTTCCAGGGATGGGGCAGCCACAGCTGCTCTGGGCAACCTGGGACAGCCCCTCACCACCCTCACAGCCAACAATCCCTTCCCAATATCCCATCTCACCCTGCCCTCTGGCACTGGGAAGCCATTCCCCTTGTCCTGTCCCTCCATCCCTTGTCCCCAGTCCCTCTCCAGCTCTCCTGGAGCCCCTTTAGGCCCTGCAAGGGGCTCTCAGCTCTCCCTGGAGCCTTCTCTCCTCCAGGTGAAGCCCCCCAGCTCTCCCAGCCTGGCTCCAGAGCAGAGGGGCTCCAGCCCTTGGAGCAGCTCTGTTGTTTCCTCTGGACCTGCTCCAACAGCCCCACATCCTTCTGATGTTCCCCTGGCTCAGCCCAGGGCACAGTGGGTTTCTTGGTGCCAGGACATGTGGCCAGAGCACGTCCAGCTTTTCATCCACCAACACCAAGACCCTCTCCTCATATTTCTCTCAATATTTTATCCATTTGCCTAAATCACAGCACTGCACAGAACTAGAGTA